GTTCGTGTTGTTTTATAGTTGGACAAATTGGATGAAAATAGAGTGGTTTGGATCTTGAAATAGAACTATGATAATGATCATGAAAGGAGGTATGACAAAGAGATGAGGGAAAAGAAGAATGAAGTGGAGAGAAGACCAAAGGATTAGCAAAATAAATAGAGAAGAAGAACAAAAAAAATGCAGAATGCTGGGTGCCAACCCTGGGCTCCTAGGCGCCAGCCTTAAAGAAAATCAGCAGAATGGCTGGAGCACAACCCGAGAAAGAGAAAAAAAACCAGTGTTTATATTTTTTTCGGCTCGACCCAACTCCAATCCGTGTTATTATCCATTAAGGCTATAAATATAAGTTTGAAGACCTAATTCAAGGGGAGAGAAGACGGCTTATAAGACAATACAAAGGAGTTGGAACGAGAATTTGGATTTGGAGCTAAAACGATAAGGATTTGGAGGAGAACTCAAGTGGCAAAAGAGTTTTTCTTCATTTTCTCTTTTTGTTTTTTATTATAAATTGTGTTGATTTCATAAATTTTATTATGAATTAAACACTTTATCTAGGGTTTGATGTAACCGACGTAAGATTATGTGTTAATGATTTTATAATTATTTCTATTTGATTTTCTCGCTTATATTTAATTGTGTCTGATTATAATGCTTTCAATTACCCGATCAATAATTGAATAAATAGATGCTAGTCAATTTCGGCACTCGAGAGAGGGGAATTTAGGCGTGATCATAGGATTGACACAACGTAGGTTTTATGAATTTCAAAAGAAAGTGTAAAAGCTTACTTCACAAAAGAATCGAGACTTCATAAATTCTAGATTTAAATTTGGAATAGAAATATTGAGATTAAATTCTAGGGTTAATTTCTAGCCGGCACTCAAAAGAGTGGAGAGAAATAATTTAGGATTCTTGCTTTTGAATATGGAAAAATCAATTGGCATAATTGGATATCATTGAATCATAATTGAAGGTTAGATGAAATCGTTCCCTAGGCTTTCTCAACTTAATTATTTGCATTCCTCGTATTTGTTAACCAATCTCATTAGATTAATTTAAAATAATTCATTCAAACATTCATTGTCTAAATAAAATAAAAAGTTACATAATTATAATATTTAGTGGAATTAAATTACAATTCATGTGGGTTCGATACTCTAACACTTTTACTATATTACAAAACTTGATACCGTACACTTGCGGTATAATTCACTTTGCATAAAAAGCGTGACAGGCCCTCAAACTTTGTATTTGATACAATTGAGCCATTTTCCGCTATCTTTGCATTATTTTCTCCAATTCTTCATCAAACATTGAGTTTTACCCACAATATGAAATATAACACAAGTTAGGTAGTATTTTATCTAAAGAACAGTAAAATATCATTATTTAAGGCCTCGAATAAGTGTAGAAACTACACTTATCATCCGCCTTGCACAGGAACTATTGAGGCAATACAATAGGAAGAGAGTATCACCTAGATGCCTCCTTCAAATCAATCTTCAAAATGCATATGATTTCGTCAATTGGGAATTTTTAAAATCTGTTTTGGGCAGACTAGGATTTTTGGACATATTTATTCGGTGGGTGATGGTATGCAATTAATG